GGGGGGGGGTGGTAGTCGAAGAAGAGGAGGGCAAAGAAGAACCTAGAATGACAACATCAAGAAATAGACAGGACTAAGTTATCATTCACTTATTCATCAAGTGGAAGACAGAGAGAGATGGCGGGTTTTATGTGCTAGTGCTCCCATCAATACCCTAATGGGTCAAGGGTTATTATATATATATATATATATATATATATATATATATATATATATATATATATATATATATATATATATATATATATAGTTTTTTTCTAAATGATGTTACATCATTGTCGTTGTTGTTGATGCCGAGGAAGTTAACGTCTGTAGTAGTTGATAACGGTTGTACCTTCAGAGTTATTTACTACACTTTGTAAACGCACTTATTTAAAACTAGCGGAAGCTAGAAGCTTTGTGTAAACAAAAAGAGTTTGTGGTAAATTTATATCGACATAGTTATCACATGGCCATTCTTGGGTTTCTGGCGGAAAGGCATACGGCGTAACTAGGTGATATAATTTGTCTATTTCAATTAAAAAAGATTTATTATTGTGTTTTGTTAAGTGTTGATTTAACTATGTACTAATGCACCTGACAAGATACAGCGAAATATGCCAGGCAATAAATTATGCAATGTATTACTTGTGTCTGCATTATTTAAAAAAGGTGGCTGTGTTTTACTGAGAATGAAATTTGTTCTGCTCTTACGAAAAAAGAAAGACAATTTCAGTCAGCACAAAGAAACTTTTCATACAAGGCATATATATCGCCACTCAGTGCTACCAGTGCCAGACATGTGGGCACTCACAATAAATCATATCAGAAATTTAGTAACCACTGAAATGAGATGTTTGATAGGGGCTGCTGGAGTGACCATAAGGGATAAAGTCAGAATAAGGTTTGAGGTTTGAACAACGGATCAACATCATGGCACACGGTTAGTAACCCATAAGTGCTCCGTTCTTCTTCTAACTCAAATGTAAGTCATATGAAGCTCAGCACGGTGCACAAGTTCTGTAGCACCGGCGCGGTTACTGAAACTCTTAAGGTAGATTTCTAACTACAATTTTTGCCCGGGCAGCGCCTTTAGGCTACTCTTTTCGATTTCCAACTGCCAAGGGATTTTTTAACCTGCGCAACAATTCACACAGGGGTCCGATCTCACTACCCAGAGACCAGGGTTATTACTAGAAGACCAAGTCCACGGAAAAAAATCCCAGCTCTTACCGGGGATTGAACCCAGAAACTTTAGCACTCGAGGCGGACACAATGCCTCGAGACCAAGCTGTCCCCTATATATTTAACATCAGGATTTCGGCACAGGACCAGTCCTAAACTACATGCAAAGGCAGCAAATCAAATGGTGTGCAAAAATTTCGTACAAGGCATATGCGAAAACAGGATAATATCGTAGATCACGAGATAGACCAAGAATAAGATGCAAAGATAACATCTGACAATCTCTACAACAGCACGACGGGTATATTGTCGAGGTTACTTGAACAGCAAGAAGCAGAACCCTATATCTCTCTTGAGACCCGAAGTGGCAAAGATGGAAGTAAAGAAGAAGAGAAGTAGAAAAAAAAAAGAATACTTGTTCTACGTCTCGTTATGCTCAAATTGTACTTGTTTCTCGCACTCCACAGTTCCGAGCGCTATCTAGTAGCAATCAACTTTGGTCAAGCCACGTCAACAGACAACTACTCCGTCAAGGTAAATGCTACTACTGGCACCATCATCTCCAACACTGGCGGCGACAACAACACTCTTGCTAAAGGTAGGCTGGTGCAGCTGGACAAAGTGACCCTTGCCTCTGGCGATGGTGTTGTGGTCAAGCTCTGAATTGGGACATGTAGATATATAGATAAGTAGTTAGTTAATTAGTTAGCTTGTTTGTCGATTAGCAAGTAAAAGTAAACGCTAAGGACTCTTTTTCACGATGATCGTAGTTTATACACTTCAAAAGCTGCCTAATGTTTCCATAAGTTTCTTTCATGTGAACTGTGTGACCAACTAAAATTGACGGTAATACATTACTGTTATTCAACAAAACAGCCTAAAGATTTGTCTTTGATGAATTAATGAAAGCCTTCACTCTTCCGGTTTTTACTTGATTTTTAGGGCTGCCATTAGCCCAGAAATGTTTTGGCATTCAGAAAGGTCACCTTCTTCGATATATATATATATATGTATATATTTTTTAAGCGGCCACCAATGTCATCTTCATCAGTGGAAGCTGTTTAAAATAATTATGGTACTTTATGGACTTGTAGGTCATCGCCGTGTCGTGCCAGACGTATTGTAGATAGGATGTTAGGATACACAAGCCTTCTTCTTTGATATGCCTTTACGAACTGGAAGGACCATACAAAAGTAACAGTTGTTTAAAATAGCAATGCAAAGATTAAACAGCATTTAAAGTCTTTGGATAAGCACCAGCAAGTCATACATTTGAGAGCATGCATCTTTCCTGTAGCAAAATACGGATGTGAGTCGTGGACTATCTCCCAGTCTT